TGGTTGTTAAGCGAATCTGGTTTCCCCATAGACTTTGCTTGTCAGAAAGTTGCAAAAGGTGATCAAGTGAACCTGGGACATTGCAACTGTCATAAAGATGAACTAGTTGCCATATTTATGTGACCACAGGGATGCTGCAATAGTTGTAAGTGTGAAAAATGGTCATAAGACACTTTTTTCAGTGCTGTTGTAACTTTGAACGGTCACTAAATTTATTTATTTATTTATTTATTATTCGAATTTATATCCCGCCCTTCTCCTTGCGGACTCAGGGCGGCTGACAATCAATTAAAAACACCGATAACAATCACAAAATTAAAATTAATTAAAATGAAATATTTAAATTGTCTGATTAAAATATGATTAAAAACCCCTCTAAAACCCCTCTTAAAAATTACCCTAGGCCAGTCCCGCTTGTTGGAATAGCCATGTCTTGAGGGCGCGGCGGAAGGAATGAACTGTTGTAAGTTGAGGACTACCTGTATCGTAGTTGATCTTGGTACTGCACTCTTCTAGGCAGTCCTCATAAGTTTGAGGACTAGTTGTAAGTAACTTCTTTTAGTGCTGTTGTATCTTTGAACGGCTGTAAGTCAAGGACTACCTGTATTTTTGCAAATGGCAAGCCATATGCTTGAACGGCTGGAAGCTATTATTCCCTTTCCCCTTTATGTAATTTTAGGAATTGGAAGTAAGAGGTTTGTTGCTTCTGGATATATATGTGTATCTGCTATGCTTGAGAGTTGATAGCTTCCTCCTCCATGAAACTGTCTACATTTCCACGTCTCATAATTCATTGAAATTCTGATGTAATTGAATTAATTCACTTATCTGTGACCACAGAATGTTGTTGTTGTTGTTAGTTGCCAAGTCGTGTCTGACCCATCGCGACCCCATGGACAACGTTCCTCCAGGTTTTCCTGTCCTCTACCATCTTCTGGAGTCCATTGAAGCTCACGCCTACTGCTTCAGTGACTCCATCCAGCCACCTCATTCTCTGTCATTCCCTTCTTCTCTTGCCCTCAATCTTTCCCAGCATTAGGCCCTTCTCCAGTGAGTCCTTCCTTCTCAATAGGTGGCCAAAGTATTTGAATTTCAACTTCAGGATCTGGCCTTCTAAAGAGCAGTCGGAGTTGATCTCCTCTAGGACTGACCGATTTGAACACCTTGCAGTCCAAGGGACTCGCAGGAGTCTTCTCCAGCACCATAGTTCAAAATCACAGAACAGATTGAACTATATACTTCACTGGTTGGGTGGGTTTAACACTTTGATCCACAAACCAGCCAAAAAAACATCTAAGTTCCTTCTTTGTGTCTGCTGTTTTTAAGAGATCGGGGTCAAATTAGTAGCCATCAGCACATTCCTGTGGTAGTAAATTCTGTAATTTAATTATATCCCTGAATGAAAAACATATCCTGTCATATACCCTAATTTTTTTCCTACTCTTCAGTTTCATAACATGATCCCTTAGTTCTAGCATTAGTAAAGGGAAAACAAGTGTCTCTTCCTCCACTTTTCTCACACTGAAACTTCTAGTTCAAATTATCCCTTGTTATCTTTTTTCTAAACATTGGCAGACTTCACACAATATTGTAAGCCTGCTTCTTTTAAATTTATTTATTTAATGTTAATTTTGTATGCTGCCTGACTCCAATGACTCTTGGGGATTCATGTGAAAAAGAAAAAGAATGTGAAAAAGAAAAAGATACAACGAGGAACAAACTAAGGAAGAAAAGATAAAGAATAATTTGTTGGTTAAGACCCATAATCCATGGTTCATAATGCGTGATATGACAAATCTCACTAAACCAAAACTGATCACAGCAGATTATGGCTTAATATGATGAATGAAACCAGTCACTGGGTCCCCCCCCATATTAGTCACTTCAGCATTTATTTATTTTTATTTTTTTTACTGTATAGCAGTGATGGCGAACCTTTTAAAGACCGAGTGCCCAAACTGCAACCCAAAACCCACTTATGCATCGTCGGGTGCCGGGTGGGTGTGGCCCATTGGCTGGGTGTGGCCCATTGGCTGGGTGTGGCCCATTGGGTGGGCGTGGCTGCGGTGGTAACAGCAGACTGGGTGGGACTAAAAAGTTCAATCAATCAATTCCAACTTTGCAAGATCTTTTTTTTTCCCGCGAGAAGTTGAAATTGACTGATTGATTGAACCTTTTTTTTTTGTACACGGCAGTGGAGGCCTAAAGCGAAAAGGTTTTATAAAACCCAGCTGAAGGCCTAGGACTGGAATGACGGCACGTGTGCCCACAGAGAGGGCTCTGAGTGCCACCTCTGGCATCCATGCCATAGGTTCGCCACCACTGCTGTATAGGATTCCCTGGTGTCCAATATATCTTCTTCTTTAAAACCATTAATTGGTATAAAGGCATTGTTTTTCTTTCAGTCTTTTTTCTGAGATGATTTTTCACTTGGTCAATATTTTCATAGAATTGCAGAGTTGGAAGCAGATTTTTTGGGGCCGAGGAGGTTCGGGGAAGGTCTGAATATCTGCAAACTATACGTAGATGTTGGTACTTGGGCTACATGATAGGAAGTCAGCAATCATGTGAATAGCTTCTCAAAAGTTAATTGCAATCCTGGAGGATATTTTCTAAACCAGGGCCCAAGAGGGTATTGAGAGTGATACGATTTTTCCTTTATATTTTAGTTTACCCTCTTCTCTTTCTTACACCTATTGTATTTGGAATCAGCAATATTATTATTATTATTGTTCTTATTATATAGTTGGGTTACCCACTTGGAGCAGCCTATTAAGATACCTTTTATTAATAATTAATAATTAATAAATTAATTAATACCATTATCCAGCTTGGGATTTTCTATGCTGATTAACAGAAGCTCTTTTAGGTTCCAAACTGAGGTCTACCGAGAATTGTGGTATGTTTTATTACAATCCCTTCCAACTTCTCTGTCTTGGGTTTTCTATCTCAATTTGGTGAAGGAGACATATCCTGTAAGATTCGCAAGAGCTTATTTTTCACACAGGTGTTTCTACAGCTGATTAATATTTATGTCCTTTTTATTCATGGATGGAAGATTTATTCTGAAAATGGCGGTCAACAGGGTGCCATGTTCAGAACAGAATTTCAAAATACTTTCTGCTAAGCAAGCTGTTGAATTCCTTAACAGAAAGAGCATGATCATGGAAGCAAGATCATATGGGCTTTCTTTAATGAGTTACGTTCAGAGGGTTTTCAAAAATCTTGAAAATGAGATAAAAGTCTTCCAGCCTTCCTTTATCGCAGATGTCATTAAGGCAGGATCTCTCTGAAGCTTTTAAATCTTTTCCCCAAGCTGTTTATATGACAGGCTAAGAATCAATTTCTCCCGATATGTCTGGAGTAACTTCTCCCATCTGCTAATCCTTTGAGTCTGGAGATCTTCTCCTCCCTTCTGAACCTCAGAGCAATCTCTCACACAACCCATTAGATGTGCTGACTGGGAGGACTCATCATCTGATAGAACTGGAGGGCACCCGCTTGGAGAAGTCTATTCTTAAAAGATCTGTGGCTGCATGTTTGTCTTTTGCTCTATTTTATGCATGCATGTATGCATATAAATATAAATGTGGGCCTTTGATAGATTTGGAACAGAAGGTAGTGATTTTCTTAGTTGCTGAGCTTCAAGACAGATGATGTCCTAAAATAGAAGGGTGTAGATCATCGGTAGAATAGAAGACTGTAGAAATTCAGTGAAATTGCTCTGTTATGATAAATTTCTTAAAGTGGAAATATTTAGAATGTCGTCTCTTGTATTTTTAGTGTCATAGATGTTCATTTGTGGATAAAAGTTACAATTCAGAAGACCAGGATAATTTTATAGGGCAATATTATTTAAAAGATTCAACCATGCTTCTTAAGTTCATGGTGATTTATCTTTACATGGCAGGGAAATTGAATTTGGTTTGTCAATTGCCAGGGGGAGGGCCTTCTCGGTGGGAGCTCCCACCCTCTGGAACGAACTACCCCCAGAGATCCGGGTGATTCCGGATCTCCCCTCCTTCCGCCGCGCCCTAAAGACATGGCTTTTCCAACAAGCGGGTCTGGCCTAGGGAATTTTAGCGGGGTTTTTTAGGGGATTTTTAAGGATAATTTTAATGATCGGCCTGTTTAAATATTTCTTTTTAATTCGGCTTTTAATTATTGTATTTGTATTGTAGTTTTTATGAGGCTGTTAGCCGCCCTGAGTCCCATGAGGAGAAGGGCGGGGTATAAATTAAATAAATAAATAAATAAATAAATAAATAAATAAATTAGGAAAACATTAGAAATTAGAAGGACGTATGTGAAACCAAGATGGTTGGTTGGGAAAATTAAGTTTTATACTGAGAACTGGAGTTCAGTAAATGCCTAAATCTAACTGTTTTTAGATAGTTTTCTCAATATTTTCTGGTCATTTAAATACAGTAAGAAATCCAGCTGATAAATAAAATTCTCTCCCTCACCCATTCCTTTGTTTCTTAAGTGGCAAATCAAATACACTTGGTTTGCTTGTAGCTAGCAAATAAATGCAGCACTGTTTCTAAACTCCAGATTTTTTTTTAATAGTCTGAGTGGCTAACCTCTCTATATCTAATCAAGAAGCCTAAAACAGTTGCTATATGGGCTTCATTTTATCATGCTAAAACAAACAAAAAAAGCCTCCCCCATTTAAAAAGAAGGATTAACATTTGTCAGTGCTTCTCAACAGGAACCACAGCTGTCCATTAAATGTGGTGGACATTTCCAGCATGCAAATCAATTTGTCTGGTACTGGGGGATGTGGTGAATAATGACTGGGTTGTTTCAGAAAGCATGACTGATTTGGGATGAAGATTCCTGCCTCTCTGACATTTTCATAGGGTAATTTATTACACGCAGCATATAAAGTGATGGTCACCAAGTCTTGCTGGCAGACTCAGTAGAAGGAACGTTCTCCAAGACTCCATCACACCAACAGCAGAGTTGTTGTTTTTTTTTTTAGCAGAAGGCCCTCACTCTAAGGACCTAGCAATGTTGAGTCATATAGTACTAAAGGACATCCTCAACTGGAGTCTCCTGCTTTTGCTTCTGTTTCTTCATTTTTGCCTGGGCGAAGAAGAAAACATGGAGGTGAGCAGAAGAGATAATAATCCAGTGGCCAAAGTTTTGGAGAGCCACCACCAGACTGGTCATAAAGGTTCCAGCAGCAGGGAAAACTTGAGACAGCGGAGCCAACTATATAAGTGGACGGTTGAGGCAGTTGATGGTACTAGTCCTTCTACTGACCAAAATGCCTTGAAACCAGAAGTAGATGATGTAGCACAGACTACCTCAGACAGAGTCCAGGTACTCTGAATTAATATTCTAAGATGCTGTTCAGAAAGTATGTGAGCTTTTTGTTATATGCCAACATTAGTACTACCTTTCTCAAGAGCAATGGGTTCCTAATGATAGGGTGACCATGCTATGCACGGACGTCTTTCAGGATAGGGCTTTTCTTTTCTATGAACTTAATTTTCCATACAAATGTTTTTCCCCCCTTTATGACATCAACTATCTTTAATCTACCAATAATTCAACGTTATGCATGTTTATTTAGATGTAAGTCCCAATGTATGGATTTACATCTTAATGGGGCGATCCAGTCAATGTTAAGCATTTCAGATCATAGTAAAAATTATGGGACTTGGTTAACTTTCTACAGATTATGCCATACTGATACATTAGAAATGTTACGAGAAAAATACCTTGTATTGGAGCAAATTTTGTTCAAGATGCACAGGATGCATCAAACAGGCTGTCAGACATGAAGGAAGGACTGCATACTTCAGCGGCATAAGGAAAAACTCTCAGTATTTTTCAATGCATCTTCTATGTAAATTTGTGTAAGGTTGTAATTTGCACATTTACTGGAGACAGTTCTTAATTGAAAGTGGAATTTATGTAGAGGATATTGTTCATAAGAGTGGCAAAGGAGAACACTTATTTTTGGAGAATATGCTTTATAATTGAAAGTAGAGAATATGCTTTATAATTAAAGTGCTTAAGTATACTGCCCTATACTCCTTTCTCAGCTCAATCGATGTTAGACACCAGAATTACTGTGCTTATTGATGTTGTTATTATTATATTTTTAAAAACCACTTAATTAAAAACAGCTTTACTGTATGGAATTTACTTGAAATAGAAGTAAGTAGTTCAGGCTGTTCTTTAGATGAACAAAACTATTTTATAGAAGAATTTTCAGATAGCGGGTATTAGAGATGGGTCAATGAGTATAATCAATGCATATACATTAATTTAGATATGAATAAAGAGACAAGCAAAGTGCTTTTTTTTGTATTGATTTTGAATTGTATCCATGTTTAAACTAATGCTTTTCTTGGCAGAAAAGGGGTTTCCAATTGAAATGTCATTGCATTTGTGGTGGTCAATGTTCAGTTCCTACTGTAGTGCTTGAAGCTCAGTTATTAATACTGTAGTCAAGCAGTGGCAAGCTCCAACTTTAGATGTACATTGGGGCCACTGTCTTGACTTTGTGGACCATACCCTATAGATACTCTGTGAGGTGGCCTAACTGTGAAAGCAATCATGCCAGGCCTGATCTTTAACTAGGGCTACCATATCTGGGCTGCAAAAAGACAGATGACCACATGCACCCTCTTTGCTGCCATTTAGAGATTGTCTATATTTTTGCAGCCCAAACATGGTAGCTCTATATTGTGGATAGTTGGAGAATGGATTTTGCTTGGAAATTTAGTCAACTGTCCCCTGGAATTTCTTCCCAAGAAGGAATAGGTTACAGTCAATTGCATGTGTGTACTGTTCTCTGAAGCATTCTGCTCTTGGCTGGAGCTGTTTATTACTGAGTGCCTTTATTAAAATGGGACCACAGATTTAATATGTTATTTGTTTGATCCAATCTTTGCCATGCCTCATTTTTCGGGTGCAAGGCACAGGCATTTCTCTCTATAAGTGATTAAGAGACACCTGATTTGCTATTGATGGCCCTGAAAGAAAGGCTTTTATTTATCACGAGATAACAAGCTTACAGAAAAATGAGGCCCTACAGAGGTGGAATGGTCTCTTTATGAGGCAATGAAGGAATGGGGTCTGTTGCTGCAGATAATCTGTTACGGGTAGTCCTTGACTTACAACCATTTGGTTTAGTAACCATTCAAAGTTACAAAAGTGCTGAAAAAAAGTGACTTACATACGTTTCCTTGAACTTACGACCATTACAGCATCCCTGTAGACACATGATCAAAATTTGGCAGCCACCAAGGATTTATGATGATTGCAAAGTCCCAGGATCATGTGATCACCATTTACAACCTTCCCAGTTGATTTCTGACAAGCAAAGTCAATGGGGGAAGTAGGATTCACTTAATGATCACATGCTTCGCTTAACAACTGCAGTGATTTGCTTAATGTCCATGGCAAAAAAAGGTTGCAAAATCAAGCAAAATGAGTCTCTTCACAACCACCTGGCTTAGCAATGAAAATTCTGGTCCCAACTGTAGTTGTAAGTCGAGGACTAACTATATCAGTGGTGGCAAACCTATGGCACGCATGCCAGAGGCGGCACTCAGAGCCCTCTCTGTGGGCACACGCACCGCCACCATTAGCAGCTCATGCAGGTCCATTAGGCGACCGCCACCGCCCGGAGCAGCAGCCCTGGCCAGCACAAAGCATGCAAAATAGCCGGCTAGCAAGCTCGTAGAGGTGTTAGAGCATCGAGGTGCCACACCTACCTGGCCACACCCACTCAGTCTGCCGTGACAACTGCAGCCATACCCACCCTGTGGGCCACGGCCCCATGCCCCCCCCTGAGGGCACCACAATGCTGATGGGGCTCTGGCACTTTGGGTTTTGGGTTGCGGTTTGGGCACTCGGTCTCTAAAAGGTTCGCCATCACTGACCTATATTGATATAAGTCATAATTGTGATATCCTATAAATTGTTTTTGAACGATGTGTTTACAGACAACACAGAGTGGACCTCAAAGCCCACCAGAATGTGGTTGCCGGGGGGATTTTGGATTTCGAGGTTATCAAGGCCCACCTGGACTTCCAGGACCTGCTGGAATCCCAGGTAAATAATTAGAAAACAATTGTACAATGATGAACACTTGAAGGGGTTGCTTGGTTTCTGTGGCAGTTTGCATAGCAGAAAAGATGTATTGAGCTTCTTGCTGCATCAAGTCTCAGTGTTCTTGGGCTAGTACTCTAAATGGTGCACCACCTGGAACATCTGGAATACTGTAGTGGCATTCCTTATCCTGCTCCTTTCCTACTGTATTCTCTTGGCTTATTCCTTCAGTCTCTTAAATCAAATGCATAATAGCAGAATTCTAGACTCAGAAGCAGCCATTTAGGCCAGTACTTCTCAACCTCAAACAACTTAAAGATGTGTAGACTTCAACCCCCAGAATTCCCCTGCCAGCATGCCGGCTGGAGAATTCTGGGTGTTGAAGTCCACACATCTTAAAGTTGCTGAGGTTGAGAAGCACTGAAACACTGATTTAGACCATTGATTTTTCCCATAGATGGCTGTTCAGATTCTGCCCAAAGACATATAGTAAAAGATAGACCTTCCCCTCGGTTTGGAGTCTGCTAGCTAGGCAGTCTCCCTGTGTACCTTGCCACCAGCTGAGCTTCCTGGTCCCGTCAACATTTGGTCTTTTAAAAATTAAATTTTAAAACATTGTGAAACTGATGTGCTTCAGTGCAAAATACCAAATAATGGTTGACTCTGTCATTTTGCCCACCAGTACCCGAAAGGATGTGGGAGATAGTGGTGGCAACAACCATGCTGGTAAAATACTGCCTTGTAATTGCTTAAAACGTCCATGTCAGTAAACAGCGAACTCCCCATCATTTTGCAACTTTCCCATCATTTTGTAAACTCCCCATCATTTTGGAAGAGTGCCCACAGTTTGTTCTCAGAACTCCAAAGGGCCTACCATCCACCTAAAGGTTTAGGGATCCATGTTGTAATTTAACACCAATAACATGGTGGGAAAGGGATCAGAATGTTCTCCTAAGCAATATTTTAATGCTAATATAGGTAGTTATGACAGCTTTGCTTTTGCAATACCCTGTTTGTGTAAAAACCGGGTGCGCACTCAAAGTTGCAAAGAAGTCTTTGGATTGTGCCAGTTTTTTCTCCTACACTTTTTTTTAAATTTGATTAATGACAGCAGCAGCAGTTTTCATTCTTGCCATGCAGATTTTTTTTAGTTCATTGTAGCCCTTTTAATAATTCTTTTATTACTGAGCTGAATAAAATGTTTTTATAAGGAGCTTTGGAGGGCAATAGGTTCAAATAACGTGGCTATTTTGATATGTAACCATAGTGAAGACAATTGATTATATAGCTAAACTGCAAGCCTTAACCAAAATGCAATGTTAGATTTCATTGATATCAACAGCAATGCCCATAAATTCTATGAATTTCTTGTTTCATATCACGTATCTATAAACGACTGAAGGCATGAGGAAAAAATGTAATGTAGTAAAATGATGTAATGTATTAAGTTAAAAAACATGAAAATGTTCTTCAGAAGATACTGATATAATTCATCAAGTAATTAATTAGGTACTTTAATGAGAGGCAAATGAAGAAAATAATTCTATCAGTATGGTTCAACTTTAAATATGTTGCAACATACTTACTTAAGTTACGACAGCACTGAAAAAAGTTACTTATGATTGCTCCTCATACTTATGACTGTCGCAGCATTCCCACAGTCACTGGGCACTAGATAATCAGCAAGCATTTTTAATAGTTGGAGTATCCCAGATTTGTCTGTTTGCCATTTGTGACCTTCGGGTGTGAAAAATGGGGACCGCAATTAAATTCCAGTTATGATGATTTTTTGCTCATGCCTATACACAAGAATTGGTCAACTAACGGTCAGCACTAAATTGGTGCTAGATAAGAGCCAGCAGAATTCAAGAGGGGCTGGACTTAGATTGTTTGTGGGAACCTAATGATTCTAGGCTGATTACTTGCTTGACTCTGCCCCAAGGCTCTGCCTGCTCCTTTCCTACCTCTTCTCAGCTGGCTTACAATAGGCAAAGTCAATGGGGGAAGCTGAATTCACTTAATGACCATGTGATTCACTTAAAACTGCAGTGATTCATTTGACAATCATGGCAAAAAAGGGCATTGGGCGCAATTCACTTAACTATTGCCTTGCTTAGCAATGAAATTCTGATCCCAGTTGTGCTTGTAAGTCGAGGACTGCCTATACCGTGTGCATAAGTGTGAGCATTTTTTTTGTAGACTATGTTCTAGTTGGGTAATGAGAAGACAGTAGCTCATGCTTCTGAATGGTGCTGTAGAGGTTTAGCAATTCCACGCTCAGAGATTTTGTAACAATCCCAAACAGTGGGGAAAGGAGCATGGACCATAACCCTTGCTCTGGATCAAGTCTCGGAATGCATCTACCTCTGGAGAACAATTTTCATTTCTTCCCTTCTATCCCGCAGCTGGTGTTACCATGATGTCTTGTCAATATTTTCCTGGCACCAGAACCCTCCAAAGGGCTGAGTTCCTTAACTGCCAACTGCCTATTTTTAGACCTGATTTGAATGCTTTTATACCTTCTGTGTTGATGCCCTGGGAAATCATCAGTTAGTTAGCACTTGATTGTAACCTGTTACCATAGTCTTCGACTTATGACCAGAATTGAGCCCAAAATTTCTGTTGCTAAAGAGGACAGTTGTTAAGTGAGTTTTGCCCCATTTTATGACCTTTCTTGTCACAGTTGCTAAGTGAATCAGTGCAGTTGTTAAGTTAGCGACATGGCTGTTAAGTGAATCTGGCTTCCCCATTGACGTTGCTTGTCAGAAGGAAGCAAAAGATGATCACATGACTCTGGGACACTGCAACCGTCATAAGTGGGAGTCAGTTGCCAAATCTCTGAATTTCAATCACAGGACAATGAGAATGCTGCAATGGTCGTAAGTGTGAAAAACAGTTATAAGTCACTTTTTTCAGGGTCATTGTAACTTCAAACGGTCACTAAATGAATGAGTGTGAGGACTATCTATATAAGATTTTGTCCTGAAAATGTACAAAAAAAAATCCTAG